TTACTCCTTGAAGGACAAGGAAAAAAATGTCCGCATCATTACTACGTTGATCAGAAGAATGCGCAGTTTCGACCACAAGTACTATGGAAGACATTTTTTTTTTTATCGGAAAATGTTGCCGAAAGGCGAAAAACTGTGTAGTCGATGATTGTTTTCTAAAACACATTGTTCGAGGCGTTGTTTGGGGGAGGGGGAGTGGGGAGCTTTTTTTAACAGTGTATCTTTTATCGTTTATTATTACAAATAAACGATTGAGGAGCAGCGGTGGCACGGGTCTGGTGCGAGGATCTGGCTGGAGCAAACAGTGCTCCGTGACGTTTTTCTTTTTCTTCGCAGGAGATTTTTTTAACTTTGTCCCCTGAACGACCGGGATCAAAGCAACGAAATGATTATCCCGCTACAACTGATCTCCTGGAAATCGCGTATAGCCGAGCATTTGTGCACAAATATAATGTCGTGCAGCTGCTGCTGGCATGATTTTGCGGCAGGAGAGAGAATGTTGTTGTCGGCATATGCGTGGATTAAGTGGGCATTGAAACATTTCTGGGCATGGGCAGATGTTAGTTTTCTGTTGGCTAACGGCACCACACAGCTGTTTTCGGGCTACTGGCGGTAGACCGCCTGCCCATCCATCCAACCATCGAGCACGTATATTCCATCTGCTTGGTGAACTGACGCAAGCCATCCGCTTTCACCGGTTCCGAATCGGAAGCAATGTGCAACTAGTGCATTTCAGGATATTAACAGCTGCGGAAAAGGCACTGCCACAAAATGGCGCCTTAAGGATAGCCATCGGCTGAGGGATGATATCTGAGAAGTTTCACTCCCATACAATATGCATTTTTACCTTACAAAAGTACTAAATAGGTAATGACATCTGTCCTTTCCCCGCCAACACTTCTGTCATAGGCATTTTGCCCTTTTCTCGTACCATCCATCCAGCAGTCCTTGTTCCTTCGACTCTCATTATGTAACAGACATATGGCTTTGTCAACAACACCACTCCACTGGAATAATCACATCTGTCACTCGGCTTACTTTCCAGTTTTGAGAACATACGGTGCTCGGATTCACAACAACAAACATGCGCTGAATGTTGCACCTGTCGCCGTACAAAAGTCCATTCACAAAACTGCTATACAGTTAAATCAGTATTCGTTCCAGAATGTGCGGTAATTTGTAGCATTTGTTCTCGAAAACAAGGAAATAGAATAATAGAAGATAACGGAACAATCGAAGTACCATGTGCAAAAAGAAATGTTTGGATGCAGTTTGCGTTTCATCCCTTAATTGTGAACACAGACCAAATGCAGCATTTCGGTAGGACTGAGAGTCGTTAGCGTAACCTCCTACCTGCCACGTCAATAAAAAGCATGTGTCAAATCGCACAAAACTAGAGTAAAGAGACGACGAGCATGAAAATCAAAAACGATGTAAAGAAAAAGGAGGAGGAGGCCTAATTTTCAAGCGTTCAGCGATACTACTGGGTTTCTGATTTCGTCGTTTTCAGGAAAAATAAGTTTACTAAGGATGGCCTTGTTCCAGAAACAGCATCTGGAAATTTAAAGATAGAACATGGATACCTCAAGTTCTATTATGCACATAAGTTCTAACTGTGTATCTGGCATTTCTCACCAAAAGAGAAATACAGGATACACAGTTAGAACTTATTTCTTACCAGGCGTATCTGGCATTTCTCACCAAAAGAACAAAGGAAGAAAGCAGAGAACGTGCACCAAGCCTAATAGGCAGCCTGATTATAATTACGCCATTTAATCCTCAGCAGTCACGCAACGGCCGCAAGACTTACTCATGGCGCAAAGACACGCTAAGACGAAAGAACAACTGAGTGAAACCTCAGTTGTTTTGTGTGTCGGACTTGAAAGGTTTATTTCTGAACAAACAATGTGTTGAAGCTGTAGGAAATATGTAAAATTTGTACATTTCTCCGTACTGCAGTGACTTTTCATTATCCCACCTGATTTCAATGGATTTCAAAACAAGGCCTACATAGAAGGCAATTTTGTACAAAAGCGGGTCTGGCTCTCCTGGCCGATCTGTGCAAAAGGTACGCTTTGGAGGTCCGTTGGTACGCGCCGCTCTTTACTTTATTATTCTTGTGCACAGCAGGTAAATTCTTGCAAGTGAAAAAAGGATCTGTTGCATGTGCAAGTCGTACCGAGCAAAACCTGCTAGTGTAAATGAGGTGGTCTTTGTCTATCTCGGTGGTGCATTTTGCATATTGCCCGGACGAAGTGAGACGAGTAGCAGCAGAGGTGCGACAATGACAAAAGAGGCAATTAAAATGGCCGAGGGGCAGAACAAGAGGGTGCGATTTGAGTGTCACCTGAGAACTTACTCCATCTCAGCACCTGTTGTATTCAATCATTGCAGACCTGCGATTTATTTACTTTGCGATTGTATTTCATGGAGTTTTGAGACCCCCTGTAGTTGCTTGCCGGCCCTTATCTTCCCAGGCCCATGCCAGTACATACGTATGTTCCATGTAGAGCTCAAATTTCCTTTTTCAAAATATAGTTCAGTGTTCAATCGACCCCCCAAAAGTGAAAATATTTCAACAGGTACTTCCATATAGAAGTAAACGACTTATATCATGCAAATGCAGTAGTACTTCCTCTTCTTTTTTCCAAGAATTTTAACTCACCCATACTTAGCCAAATGGCTCAGTATCTTGGGAAAAGTGCCTTTAACAACAATCAAAATTGTTACCGCATTTTCCTTGAACCACTTTCTGGATGCGTTCAGCAGTGCATTCACCCTAATTGTATATTTAACAAATTTTCAATTAAAAGAAATTATCAACAGTACCAAAACATCAGACACGATCATTATGGATAACATGATATGATGTTAGAGGGATGCTTAAACACCCCGCGTATAGCTATGCCAAGCTCTTCGATGTTGAATTGCATACCCCCCATACCCTCAGTAAGTGTCTATTCTTGTTCGATGCGTATACACCATTTCTTCGAGTAGTCGTTTACTCTCTCGCAATTACCATTCGCTAATACGTGATATCTACTAACCAAAAAATATGATGAAAAGTTTCGACTGCCAAGATGACGGTTTTGAATCTCCAGTGTATGCCAGAACCAATTTACCACTAGGATAAGTGAAAACATCTTGGAGGAATTGTTCATCCTAATGGCCAAATCGAACCCTTAACCTTTTGCATGATAGCAGTTCTGCTTCTCAGTAGACCATACTTGCAAAAATGATGAATAATATAGTAATATAAAAAATACTGAAATATGATGGACAAAATGCCAGGAATTTTTTTTAAAATTTTGGCTTAGGCCTCTACATATTAGGAAACATCTGAGTCCGATATTTTACACTGGCTACTTTAGCATCTCGAATTTTCCAAGTTTCTCAAATTTTCTTTCTTTAATTTTTCGTTTTCCAACTTTCGTTAGAAATGAACAACTCAAAAATTTGTATTTTTAAAATAGGACTCTCGCAAAATTCGCTTAAAATCAGAAGACGCATCTCTATAACTTTCACAGTTGCGGTGGCCATTTGAACATACATATAATTTGACTGTTCTGGCACCTGAATATGGAAATCTGGGAAATGCTCTAACTGGTGATCCGTTCCCTGCCCAACTAATTCACTGCTCACATTTGAGCACTCTGCCCACCTAAGAAGGAGTTCGAAGGCTGACTGCACGTATGTACGCTTTGGGTTGGGATTTGGTTACTGTACTCATTAACAAAATGAGCAGTTGCTCCGACAAAACTGTGAGTATGCACTGCCGGTATATAGCTGAATGCTTTTTCGAGGAAGGCACGAGTAGCAGAGAAGCGGATCTGGCGCAAAGCATAAAGGTGAGCACGCGCACATGTCTCAACAGCTGCAAAGTCTGAAGAACTCGCAATAAACCGATGCCTTTTTGGATTTCAGTGAAGCAGCTGGCATCCATATTTCAGCAGTCGCTCGCCGACCTCATTTTGAAACTCATCGAAATTTATTAAAAATGAACGCCTCACGAACTCATTTTGCGAGAACTCAGCTTGATGGCGTGACACTGCTAAAACAGCGCCTATGGTAATCAAATTTTGCTCCCCATCCCGACGATTTGGCGTGCCCAGAATGGGTACATCTTCCTCGCTGATGGACTACTGAACGAGGAGTGAGAATGAAAATCTGGCAATGAAAC